CATCATGTTTTGACACAATGATAACCGAAATTGTACATGGATGAGTTTCCTCATGAACCAAGCTTCGAGCCATTAAATCTGTAATTAGTTTCATCCACTTTTCATACTCACCTGAGTGAATCTGATAAATAAGTTTGTAAGTAGGAATTAAATCTGGGGTGAAATCTGTGGCAGGATGCACCACTCTCATTAGTAGCCACTCAGGAGAGAGACCTCTTATTTGCTGATAGAACATGGATCCCATTGAAGAATTTTCTTTCCCGTCAAGCTCCCAAGACAAATTTTAACGCCTGGGTTAACCCTTACTGCTTGAACATTTGATGATGGGTATCATGCTGAACCAAATCTAACATTTAAATAACTCTATGCAATCTTCCAGTTATGGTACAAAAGGGCCTCATTTCTGACGTGTTGTACCTCCTTCAATAGGGGCAACCCGGGAATGAGTATATAGATCTGAATGGTTTGAATTTTTTTTATTTGGGGTTGTCATACATTGGGTATCGGTTCCTCGAACTCAAGACTACATTGGACAATCACTGTTAAGTTTTTTGGACCACATTGGACAATCACTATTAAGTTTTTTGGAGTCTCTCCTATGGGCTTAGCCGGTGCATATTTTTCTGTTCAATAGGAAGCGGAAACTTATTCTTTGTGTCTTCATTTTATTTAGCGTCTGTCATGTCATTATCCAAATTTTCAACAACGCACTGCTCAGTGAAACATGTCACCCTTTGGTTGTGCAGTTTGATTTAACATGCCCAAAATCGTGGCACCTGCAACACTTTTTTACTATGACCGATTTAGGGATGCAGAATGGTTCCACTTGTTTTCCATCTGAATCAACTTTTTCTCTGATGTGGTTGTCTTTGGTGTTCTCCTGGGTGTGCTCTGACTGTAAGATCATGAGGTTGAACTCTGTCTGTAAGATGTGGTGGTCGCTCGGTGATGTGGTCTCTTCACTTCTGAAGATATGATCTGAACATTCCGTCTGTAGTAAGCTTATAAGAATTTGCGTTGTATCTCCAGATTCATTTTCGGATTCTCTTATTCTCCCCTCCGACTCTCCGGATCACGTAGAGGGTAATCTCCTACTGGATTTCATCCTCGATGTCCGCAAGCCTCCGTTGAAGTTGGCAGATCTCTCGCTATATCTCTTTCCGATTAGGCTCGGATATGTATGTTCTTGGTGGGATGACTAGGTTTTTGGGTGGTGAAACAGGGTGAAAAAAATTGATTTAGGGTTGCTGATTTTGTAAATCAGCAAGAGGAAATTAGGGTTAAACCAAAATTTGGCTAAGGTTTAGAAATAGAAAAAAAAAATTGGTGCAGGGATAAAGCGAATGCTAAGAAACCCTAGACTAGGGTTAGACTAGCTCTGATATCAAATGATACCGAAGTTAACCCAAACAACAATAAAAAACAAATATTATTACTTGAAACAACTAAGCAATTACAATTAACATACTGGAAAGAGGAATTACAACAAACACAACACAAATTCACTACGACTCGACTTATGGGTGATGGAGGTTGGCTAGGTGGTTGGGGAGCAAAGGTAGATGACTGAAATGGGGTTGTAGGTGGTTGGGACAGCCAAAGGAGTGGCCGAAATCGCGTTGGCAGCGAAGCACAATGCTAGAACAACAAAGACATTGGGTGAGGTGGGTTAGCCGAGTGATGAAACCCGGTAGGAAAAGGCTGGAGCAGCCAAGGGACGGCAGGAAAACAATGAGTTTACTATTTTCCGGATGGCGACAACGAAGGGGAGAAGCGGGGCGCTGTAGGGCAGCCAGGGGCGGCTGTTCGGGACAGGGGAGACAAACAAGATGGGTTGGAATGGGAAGATTGTAGTGAAAAACAATAAAAGCTATTATCTTGGGGGTGGCTGCAATAGGGAATGGAGGCTTGGAGTGGCAAGGTGTGATGGGGGAAGAATATATCACCAACTAGAAATCAAGATATAGCCGAAGAACCATTTATAATCCTATGATACATCCCTCGAAGGGAAGAAGAGATGCCAACAGCTGTCCCGGTACATAAACACACCAAAGACTGAATTTCCAAACCCTAATATAGCACACACACATATATAAAAGGACTAAAAAGGAACGAAGAATAATATGAAAGATAGCATAAGAACGGAAAACAATGTTATTTAGGTGCCTCCCGTGATATATCTTTATGCGGTGCCATAGTAGCTATTGTACTGTGCTCATAGCAAGCTTCGCGTCCGAGGTTTTAATTGCACTGCAATCGGAATGTCGCCTCAAACAAACACTTGATTATTTGGACATAAAAAATAATACTATGTTAACATTATTTGTTGCTATTATAATTTTAAATTTTGTGTAACTCAATGTTAAGTGATGTATAACTTTTGATATAATATATTGGACTTCTTGACTTTCTGTAAACTTTGGAAATTTCTTTATGGTATTCTGTTTGAATTTATTTTGAAACGGTGAACTTACAGTTAGCACATGTACAAGACATTACAATATTTATCTCATAAACAACTACAACACAGTAGATTTATAATTGAACTATCTAAACAGACATACTACACCAACAGTAGCTTTCCAACAATAACTTATCCTACAGATGCTTCAGAGCTACTTTTTAAAACAACTACAGCTGCCCAAATGAACTCTTAGCTGTAAAAAGTAGTTTGTCGCTATATAAATTTCTAAAGAAAATAAAAAAAAAATAGTTCTCCAAATAAAGTTGTGAAATTGGCTTGAAATGCAAAATAGGCAAAAAGTTGCCCAAACTAACCCTTATTCATTGCATGTCATTTTAAATAATTTCTATCAATGTTACCTTAGTTCTATCACTTCTCTTCGAACATCCTTAAACTAATTTTATTTACTCATCAAATGTGTATATTTTCTTCCTCTTATTGCACACGTTCAAATCAGCTAGTCTATTTTTAATTAGCTCATCTTCAATAGATGTCATTTCAACTCTTCGTCCAATATAACTATTTTTTTACTTTATTCATTCTTGTTTTTAACATTTTCATCTAAATAATTTCATTTTTGCCACACTTAGCTTAAGGGTTGTTTAGGAACATTTTTTGTTTTCATCTTTTTATTTTTTTAGTTGTTTTATTATATTTGATAAAGATATCAAATATATTTGATATCTTAAATATATGTTGTTTTTGTTTTTTGCTTTACTAAATATCCCATAAGTTAATTTATTTTGCATTTTTAAAGAGGACAATGGTGTTGTGGTTGGAGGTGTTGGTGGACTAAATGGAGATGGCACAAGCTTTTGCATGTGATTTGCTTAACGGTAGATGCGGGATGGCTGGCGTGATGCACAATAGATAAGGTGGCTGGGAGTTCATGTGTAGGAAACAACGAAAGCCCTTAATTTGTTTTGGTTTTTTTTAAAGCATTTGATTTGTTAAAGAAAAACACTTCAGAAACATATGCCAATATATGTTTTGTCCAATTTTTTAATAGCAAAAATAAAAAAAATAATGCCAAGTAGTTCTTTGCTATTAACTTTTTTTTTTCTTTTTTTTATTTAAACATTTCCCAACGCTCAAAATCATACAACATTTCATTCTAATTGCAACCTCAACTCTCTATGATATTGTCTAATCACATTGCACTTTGAGTATGCTTATATGTTTTTAAGTTATTTTAAACACCTGTTTTTAATTTTAGAAGTTTTAATCTCATCTATATCTTCATTTATTGTAGGTCTATGATATTTAGAGTGATATTTGCTAATCTTGATGTAGTAGTGCTATAATTTGAAACTGTTTTGGTAACTCCATAGCTATAAATAGTGTGAGCAACGATAGCATGTTTGTATGTGAGCACACATGCATGTGCACATACATACATATATGCATACATATATAGGCGCTTGTGTTTTTTGTTGCTGAGAATCACTAAACAAGCTTGATAAGTTAAATAAAGTGGAAGTATATGCTTATGAAAAAACTGGCTCTTTAGGGAACGCATTGAAAAAAAAATCAGTAGCAAAGAGGGGATTTTTATCCTATAGTGGGCAAAGCATACACATAAATAATGGATCTTTATGATGTATGCATAATGAAAACTTTTAAGCGAAGTGGAAACATAAACTCTGACCTTATAAGCGTAAGCTTTGAACTCCATATGGTTCAAATGATTTGCTACATAGGCATCGCATTTGGGAAGAGCTTTTGGAATCACTAAAAACTATCTTTGAGGCAAGTTTTAAAACAATTTGATGAAGCTTTGTTGGCTTAGTTACTAAACTGATTCCCTTTTAGTTGATAGAAAGAACTCAGATACATGGGATTGAGTTTATTTTTCTTTAAAAAATCATGCTTTCTTCTTTATCAGAGTAATTGCTTTATGTCTCCTAATGGATAAGAAAGAGAAACTTTGCTAGTTCAGCTTGAATTTGTTTTTTAGAAGTCTGAACATGTATAGCCTTGTCAAAGGATAATATAACTATACTGTAATAAAAGGGCTCTGCAAAGGATTTCCTGTGAAGTTATGCAGCTTATTTGATCATGCTTCCATCTTATATTTAGCATTTACATCATGGAATTGTATGGACAAGTATTATTTGTTCTTAAACAAGGACACCTAGCATTTGCGTCATGTGATTATATAGATAAGTATTTTTGGTTCTTAAACAAGGCCAAATTATAATAAATAAAACAAAGAAGATACATTCAAAAGATAATTTTCTTATGAACAACAAATAAAAATACAATTTATGCTAAACCATGTCTTTGCTTGAGATGTGCTATTATACAAGCAAACAGTAATTATAGCAAATCTCAAGGAAATACATTATTTAGTGTAAACTGTCGGCTGATTTGTTGGATTTTATATAAACGTTTCTTTTTTATTTTCATTAGTCCCTGGCTTCTTAAATACTAATGTATGCATTGGTTTTCTGGGTGCATTAATTCCTACTTTTAAAACCCATGAGTGACTTTGTTTATATTTTTCAAGCGTAATGAAAATAATATTTGCTGTCAGGTGCTGCCTTATGATCAGCTAATGCAAGAGCTTGATGTTTCGAATGTGAGGGAGCTTGAAGACTTTCTTATTAATGAGTGCATGTATTCAGTAAGTTTTTCTGATGTAGTTCATCATTGCATTTGTATAAACTTTCATATAATTTTCATTTTTAATTTATGAGAAGGGTGCTTGCACCAGCACCCGACTTTTCCATAAAAAAATGTTTGAAATATATGTTCTATGGTAGAAATATGGTCTTTAAATTTTGCTATTTTTGTTAAAGGCCAAAAGCTTTTTTTTTTATTTATTATTTAAATTTTTTGTGTATTTTTTATGATGGTTGCCTTCCAATTCCAAACTCATTGGAGTCCTTGGACTTCTATTGTGAACGTTTTGTTTGATTTTTCATATCTATCATGATTATAGGTGCATTGGTATTTAAATTAATGCACATCCATTTTTTGGTTGTATTTAATTTTGTTTTCATTGCAATATATGTTATGTACTATTTCACATCTAGGGTGGCACCAGCATGATTTTGTAATGACATAATGACATATCCTATTCCAACTTGAACGCCAACTCTATCTTTCCACCTACCTTTCCTTCCCGCATCCTCACTTAGGCCATTTCTTATTTTATTGCTCCACTCATCTACAAAGTTCAGACCCCAAATTGCAGATTTATCTTTTTCAACACTTCTATTCATCCACCTGTTGGGTAAACAACATCCAGGTACTCTTTTGATGGCGTTTTTTTCAAGAGGGCACATCTTTCTATTCTTGCCACCTTTATATTATAGGCAATCCTTACCATTATTCCTTTTAGGCAGTTAAAAGATTATTCTAAAATTTTTTAACATCATTCTGTAATATATATTCCTTAAGAATTATTATTATAGGCTTACATGAAATCATTGTGTAACTATGGTGTGGGCCAGTCATATATAGAAATGCTCTTTACACCTGAGTCACCTCCCATGTTCTTGTTCCCAGGTATGAGTTAATGATTTATGAACTATTAATTTATAATTTGACGACCCACAACCTACCCCAATATACTGAAGATTTTTATTTTTTATTTTGGCCAATTCTACTGTATTTGATGGTAATTAATGGATGTGCCAAATAACTTATGGTGACGTATTCAATTTTCTGGTGAGCTGTTTTCTTTATATAAAAATTACATTTCTAATGATTTTACTTCTTTGTTCAATTAACTTTTGACTGCTAGACAAGGGTCTTCCGCTAAATATAGATTAAAAATTTGAGGTATAGCTACCTCAAACAGGTTTTAGGTCGATATTTATTTTAATTATTAAAATGCTATAAATGTGGCCATCTACATGTTTTATTCTTCTTGTGATCATAATATGGCGTTTCTTGGCATCATGCTTTGTATTGTCTCCATCCTCTGTGCTTAGCCATGCAGTAGACGAGGTATCTTGTTCTTGAAAAGCAGTCTTCCTACCTTTCCAAGTTTTTTTAGATTTACATGGCCATATTGTCCTTTCTGATCTTGTGGTGTCTCCATGAGTGATGGATAGTTTCTGTTGTAGTTGTGCATGAAAAGAAATCCCATTTGAAATTTCATGATGTCATAATATATTATGACATCGTTACTGGTGAAGTTTTCCTTATGATCTCAATGTTGGAGTCAACTTTATTATAGTTGTGGATGTGTGAAGTGCTGCTTTTAAAAGTAGATTTCTTACACTCTCAGTAAAAATCAGTGTAAAGATCTGGACACTTCACATTCCTAAATCCTTCTCCGTGCAGATCTACATTGATTTCATTCATGAATATGAACAACTCAATTGCAATGTTTTAATTAATGAACGAGCAAAGATAAATATTGAATTTGAAGAAGAGAATGGTTTTCTTATTGTGGGTAATAATTCTTTGAAGCTTTTTTACTCAACAAATTAAAATGACTTGCGGCTATTGGTTTGATCAATATTAGTAATTATAAGTTGTCATTTATGCGCTTGTTTGGAAATAATAATATGCAAAATCTTGGTTCAAATTTATGATTTATGACCCTAATGCATGCATATGTGCCCGTTTAATAAAATGTCAGAGTAATTTTTTTCATTGGGTTTAGCCTTGTTCGGGCATGTGTGTGTGCCTCATTGGCCAACCTACTTTATCGATACTTGTTAGAGCAAACTCTATATAAAGAGAATACTTACCTTATAAACAAAGTGGGATTAAGCCTTTTTATTAGCCTTGAAAAGCACATGATTATGTCTTTGAAATACTTTTTGAAATACTTTGGACAGTTGCTTGAAATACTTTGGACAGTTGCAAAAAAAAAAAAGCTGTTTGAAAAATCCCCTACTTTTTCAAGGACAATATGAAAATTAGATAGAATCCATTAATACTAGTGTCTTTTGGACTATGAGTCACTATGTATGATAAGGCATGCTGCATCAATATATAATATATATATATATATATATATATTGATGTTGAAATTCAGAATAATGTGGAATATTTATATTGATATGAAAGGGTGTATAAATAACCCTTAAATGAATTCTAGAATAGGAAAGACAATAAAAGTAAATAACAGGAAAGTAAAGATATAACACTTATTATCACTGATTAATCAATTCATATTAATTGTTTGGAGATAAAGAAAACAACATAAAATAAGAAAACCTAAAATAAGAAAGGAAATAAATCCAATGCAAGGAAATGATTTATTCCTCATAACTTCTCACAGGAATAAATTATTTCATAATATAACTTTTAACATTCTCCCTCACCTCAAGTTGAAACATGGTTGAAAATTAGGTTTAACTTGGATTAGAAAACATCTAACAATGGGCGAGGAAGATCTTGTGAGGTAGAACTTGTAGTCTTCATCCCATACTGCGGTTGTCATTGACTGCAGTTCCGGCAATGTTTATTGGTAGGCGAAAGGCTACTACAAGTAATGTTGTAGAGGAGTTTGCAGAGAAGTAGACAACTGTAATTGTATTTTACTGCAGTTTTTGCAGTGTTTGTGTCCTATAGGTAAGCGGAAGGCTCCTATAGGTAATGCTGCAGGGGAGTTTACAAGGATATAGGCAATCTGTAGGAAAAGCTAACTTCTAGTTGACTACGATTGTCATTAGCTATAGTTTCTGTAGTGCTTGTAGGTAAGCAAAAGACTCCTCTAGATAATGTTGTAGAGGAATTTGCAGGGAAGTAGACAACCTCCAGAAAAAACTGCAGGGTATGACCTGCAGAAAAAAACCCAAAGGAGGGCTTGCTACATAGTCAATATGCAATAGTTCTTTATGGGGAAAAAAATTTTGGACAACCAACAATAGAAAATTCTCCACGATACAGATCTCTACGGGAGGAAAAAAGCAACAGGAACAACAACTGTTGGGAAACCGCAGCTTGCTTTCTGGAGGCCGACAAAGTCGAAGCTTCTGGCTTGCTTCCAATCGAAACAACAATTGTTGTTTGCTTTCTGGAGGCTGACGGTCGAAGCTCCCGGCTCGGAAAGGGTCAACCCACAATTCAAGCCTATAGGAAGAGAAGATAAAGTCGATTTTTCAAATAAAAGATGAGTGTCCCTCCCTTCCCACATGGAGGATGGCAGGAAGGGAGTCCGGCGGTTCTGGAAGGAGGGTCGGCGACTAGGGTGTGAACTTAGACTTTGATACTATGTTGAAATTCAGAATAATGCGAAATATTTTTATTGATATGAAAGGGTGTATAAATAACCTTTGCATGAATTTTAGAATATGAAAGACGATAAAAGAAAATAACATGAAATAAAAGATATAACCCTTAATATATTCAATTATTCAGTTCATATTAATTGTTTGGAGATAAAGGAAACAACATAAAATATGAAAGGAAATAAATCCAATCCAAGGAAATAATTTATTTCTCATAACTTCTCACAGCAATAAATTATTTTCTAGCATAACTTCTATCTCTCTCTCTCTCTCTCTATATATATATATAGATAGATATATATAGTGCCATCACTTGTGGCCTGTTGATAGAGCAACCTCTTTGAAGGTCTTAAGTCCACTCATGTCACGGGTTCGAATCCCCTTCTGATCAGTTTGTCGGTAGTGAGAGTGGTCCTCGAATAACTAGGTACATGAGGGTGGCTAGGGGCTCGTATAATAGTCTCCGACCATTCTTTTAATATATATGTATGTATGTATAT